AGGACAACAAAGAGAAGACGCAGAGGTGGAGATTTGCTTTAACTGAAGTAGCTAACATCAAGGGATGGCACTTGAGTAGCAGGTAACCATCTTTATTCTTTCACTCGAACAATATGATAAGGATTGTGCCATTAAATTTTGAGTGGTTTTTTATTAAGCTATTTATTTACTTTGTTTTGAATTCCAAGGCATGATGAAGCAGAATTTATTAAAGAAATCATCAAAAGGGTATCGACGAAATTATGTCAAACATTTGCTAGTCCTCCTAATGACATTATTGGAATTCAATCACGTTTGGAAGAGCTGCGTTGCAAAATAGACGCGGGACATGTATATGATCAAGTTCGCGTTATAGGGATTTGTGGTATGGGCGGCTTAGGTAAAACAACTCTTGCAAGATTTGTTTATACCCAAATTTCAAGCCATTTTGAACGCAAATTCTTTTTGGCTGATGTTCGTGAAGTTGTGGAGAGACATGGCCTTGTTTATTTGCAGAAACAACTTATTTCCAAGATTTTTCCTGAGGAAAGTTTCAAGATTTCTAATGTTTATGAAGGAAATGACATTATAAACCGTTTGTTATCTCAGAAAAAGGTTCTTTTGTTATTGATGATGCAGATAACATACAGCACTTACTGTGTTTGATTGGGAAGCGTGGTTGGTTAGGTTTAGGAAGCAGAGTCATCATAACAACAAGAGACGAGCATCTGCTGCAAATGTATGGAGTGGACGTTGTGTATAAGCCGATGAAATTGAATGCTACGGAAGCACTTCGCCTTTTCAGTCTAAAAGCTTTCAGAAGTGACACGCCTGCAAAGGATTTCGTCAAGCTTTCGGAGAATGTAGTGGAATATGCCGATGGCATTCCTTTAGCGCTCGAAGTTCTTGGTTCTTTTCTTTCTGGCATATCAAATGCAGCTCAATGGAGAAGTGCTGTAGAAAGACTTAAAAAGGAGTCTAAAAAGGAAATTATAGACAAACTTGGAATAAGCTTTGATGGGTTAGAGGAAACAGAAAAAGATATATTTTTAGATATTGCATGCTTCTTCAAAGGAGATGACAAAGATATGGTAACAAAAATTCTTGATGGTTGCGACTCTTTCCCGGATATTGGGATAGATGTTCTCATCAAGAAATCTCTGATAACCATTGACGAAGACAACAAATTGTCCATGCATTATTTGCTACAGGAGATGGGAAAGAAAATTGTTCGTCAAGAATCTCCTAATAGGCCTGGAAAACGTAGTAGATTATGGGAAGACAAGGATATTCATTATGTTCTTGCAGAAAACACTGTAAGTCAAGCACTGAATTATGCAGTTAATTTTAATAAATTTTACTATGTTTTTACTCTGATTTTCAGGCTACAGAAGCTGTTCAAGGCATAACTAGCGGTCGTACAGGGTACAAATTCATACATCTCTCTATGTAAATGTAGTTGATTACTGTGTAACTGTTGAAGCTCATCCATCTTTTTTTTATCAGGGTACAGAACAAGACTTTAGCTTTAAGCGCTGATGCCTTCTTGAAGATGAAAAGGCTATGGTTGCTAAGGGTATTTAATGCGCCAACCCCGAATTCTCGTGATCTCAACTATCTTAGTAACGAGTTAAGGCTTTTGGAATGGCATGGATATCCTTTCAAATCCTTCCCTTCAAGCTTCCACCCAGAAAACCTTTTTCACTTCTTCCTTATAGCCATATTAAAAAATTATGGAAGCCAAACACCGTGAGAATTACTAATTTATTTCATCAATAATTTGATTGAATAACATAGATAGCGAAATGACATTGTTGTTTTCTTTAACAGCCTTTACCCAAATTAAAATCAGTCGACCTCAAAGGCTGTGAAAACCTTGCGAAAACACCAGACTTCAGTATGGTCCCAAACCTTGAAAGTTTGATTTTGGAAGGCACTAGGATATCAGATTTTTATCCAACCATGAAGTCTCTAAGGAGGCTTAAGATTTTGAGTTTAAAAGACTGCAAAAGTCTTAGGAGTTTCCCATCCGAAATTGGAAAGAAATCTCTTGAAACATTAATTCTTTCAGGTTGTTTGAAAATCAAAACGATCCAGGAGATTGTGGGGGAAATAGAGTGTCTGCGGCAGCTTTGTTTAGATGGGACTGGAATTAAAGAACTTCCCTCTTCAATTGGACATCTCAGGAGTCTTGAGTTGCTAACTCTGAAAGATTGCAGTAAGCTTGAGTGTCTCCCAAACAGCATAGGAAGGTGTGAATCCCTTGAAAATCTTAATCTCTGTGCCTGCTCTAAACTTGAAGACTTGCCTGAGAATTTGCAGCAAATAAAGTCTTTGAGGGAGCTTGACTTGAGTGAAACTTCCATAGCAGCCCTACCACCCTTCATTTTTCATATGGAAAGTTTGAAGTTCTTGTATTTTCACGGATGCAAGAGACCACCATCTAGAGGACGATCACTTTGGCCTTTCATTTCGAGGACAACTGAAAGACAGGGTCTGAACTCTATGACTCAGAGGCTACCTGTTATTTTGTCAGGTTTGAGTACTATGAAAGATCTGGATTTAAATCACTGCAACATTCGTGATGGGGCTATTCCAAATGATATTTGCAACTTGTCCAACTTAGAAATTCTAAGTCTTTCTGATAATGATTTCACCACGTTGCCTACAACCATTGGTCGACTTTCCAAGATTACTTTTCTAACACTGACTGACTGCCAAAGGCTCAAATCACTGCCTGAGCTTCCAGCAAACACAAGACTATCGGTAGAGGGTTGTACTTCATTGGAAGAACTTGCAATTCCAGCAACAGCCTGCAACTATCCAAGGAGTTATGGATATATTAATGCTTTGAACTGCTTCAAAATGGCAGAGACCAACAATGTGATAACAGTTCTGAATAGAAGTCTTAAGGTTATCTATTTATTTATTTGTGGTACTGATTTCAAAAATGAGGTCTTGTTTGCAGGTAGCTGCAGATGCAATGTGATAAATGACCTGCTAATTATCACTTATTTTGTTTTGTTTAATAGGTAGTGGCAAAGGAAAGAACAGGACACTTCAGCATTTTCATTCCGGGAAGTGAAGTCCCACGATGGTTTAGGAATGAGATGGCCGTGTCTTCAAATTCAGTAACAAAGATGCCATTGCCTCCCAATTTTCTGAATGATGGTCAGATAGTAGGGTTTGTTTTCTGCTTTGTTTTCTCCTCTAACTTCGATTATAGTCCTGGCAGGCTGGAATTTGTTTCCCTTGAATGTACTATCCATGGTAGAAATTTCTCTTGTAAAGTCGGAGGCAATAAGTTTCATTTAGAAGCGGGATCTAAGAGGGTGACTGAGGACCACCTTTGGCTATATTTTATGCCTTTTGACGACTTGGATTTCTCATCCCTGGAGGAACTAATATGTGATGAAACTGAGATTTCTGGATCCAACATAGACATGGCAAAGGAAAGATTCGAAATGGAGGTTGTATTCAAAGTCGAGAACATCGGTTCCAAGGAGAAGAAATGTGGGGCTCGGATAGTGTATGAAAAAGATTTGGAAGAGATGGACGAAACCATAGATGAGCATGGCAGATCAACTTCCTCAAATTTTGATGATAGCCATTCAAACGATGGATCAACTGGGAACAACATTGGTTCCCCGCATGAAGAGAGAATGGCTAATTGTCAATTTATCGGTCATTTTATTCGGAAAATCATCGAGATATGTTTTCCGTGTGCTTTGACTCCAGGTTGAACTGCAAAGCAGGTAAGGTACAGTTCTGCTTTGATTTAGGATCATTATTTCGAATCATCCAGCGTTAATGTTAATGCAGTTTGCATTACATCCGGATTACTCTCAGACAGCAGCTTTATTTCCGACTTATTTACACTGCTTGCTTATATCTCATCTTCCAACTTTATTTCTGATTTTTCTTTATTCTGGCAGTCCATGAGAGCATCAGAAGACGGAAATGCAGCAGAGAAGCAACTTCTTACCCAGACAGATCATTCATCATCTTGATCCAACATTGCTTCCTGATTTTGAACTAAAGGGGTTAAGTCTCCCAGGCCTAGAATAACAAACATGTGAAGTGAAACCCAAGGACTTACACATAAAATTCGTAATGAGGGTTTCATTCTTTATTTCTAAATTATTAAATTTCTTGAATAATTATACATCATGATTTTATCATTGTTAATATATCAAATATTTATCAGGACATAAAAACAAATGCATCAAGTTTCAAACCCCAACCACACTTCTGTTAGTTCATCCACAATTACTTTTTGAGAAATAAATTTTATATCTTAGTTTCAATATTCGGAATTTTCTTTAGGGGATAATTTATATTTTAAGCCATTTATTTGATATCAATTTTAATCTTTGGACACAGACAGTTAATTTGCTAAATTATACCATAAAATTTTATTACTAATAAAATGAAAAGAAAATTGACTCCAAATGAAAACATACTCAACATGAAACCCCAAGTGGATTTTGTTTAGAAAATAAGACAGATCCATGCTAAAGTAGTGGGTTCTTTTTACAGTAAAGTTTTGTAATGTTGTTTAGTGATATAAATATATAATTTCTGGCTTTTGATTCATTGAGCAATTAATTTAAATTAAATAATATACTCCAATCTATTATTGGAGCGAAGCAATACAGTTTGTTTCATCTACTATATCGATATTTGAATTTTAAATGTTGTTTAAGGACTTAAAAATATAAATTATCCTCAATTTTCACTGTTGGTCAATTTTTTATTTTTGAATAGGTCTATCCCGGTTCAACTATAAATATAATCAATCTCATATGATTATCGAATATTAGAAATCAGTATTCAAACTATATATTTAATAGGAAGAAGAAAATGGAATCTAAAATTTTATCAGCATTAAGTAAGAACCCAAAAGCAGTGAAAAAAAGTGTATGAAGCCTTAACAAAGCTTCCATGAACCACAAGAGACTAATATACATGCATTAAGAGAGACAAAACAGACCAAATAAAGCATTAAACATCTAAGGGACTTAAGATTGTCTGACCACTGTGATTTTTCCATAGCTTTCCCGCCATCTAAAGCTCTTCGGAACAGTGCAGCAACCACCAAATTGCTGTTGCAAGTAAATGATTGCAGCAAATAGCAAAACCCCAATAGAGATAATCACATCCCAACCAGTGGAGAAAAAAACATCAGCAGGGTTCACGTATATGTATGCTCCTTTGTGTTGGACATAGCTGTGGTTATTGTAAAGATCATATGCATGTGGCAGTAACCGAACCAGACTGGTACCAATATAGAACAAGGGGCTGAGTGCATGTTCTTTCGATCTCGAGAACATATTGAACAGTATCTGAGGCAGAAGGAAACCGTCTGAGATCAAACCTGCATATGATTTCAGGTCATCCCAGGCTGAACGCTGCCAGTAGTGGACTGGACGAGTGGGAAGCAACACGATCTCGCGTTTATAGTTCCCCCTATCTACGAGCAGAACCATGAATGCACCGGAAATGTGCAATGATAGTGTGACAAGCAAGGTCATTTTCTCTGCAAACCATAGGCCTTTGTGGTTTCCGTTGTTCAATCTACTCGAAAATGCTAGCTGGAGAATGCGGAATTGCAACAAGAAAGCTACCATTGATGTTATCCTAATGATGACCTCGTTTGCTTCAAGCCATCCACCGGTCTGAAACAAGACGGTATCCTGATCGTGTTTTCTATCAAATAAGGCTTCATAGTTGAGCACCAGAGGAATAAGTTGGCCCATGGTAAGGATCAAGAGCATAACAAGTGAAGTAGAGGGGAGTGATTTCGGATGCCTTTTCGAATGATACAGCTGACTTCTGACAAATAGACATGCAAATGTTTGAGATAACCATGGCAATCTCAAGATCCATGGTCCAAATCGTATACCTTGCTTGCTCCCTACTGTAAACAGTTGAAGACACATCTAGATGTTCAAGGTAAAGGAGATCAGACTCCTCCCTTGTGCTTTCGATTTTTCCCTGAATATACCCTCCATTGTCGAAGACTTCTACCGGAGCAAGCTGAAAATTCAGAAGAACGTTACAGTCCATAAGCATTTCCGGGCACTCGATCGATCGATGCAAACTTTCTGCATCCAACCATACACAAGCCTCCAGTGTCAGCATCATAAATCCCTTCAGCAGAAATCTCCATTTTCTCGTCAGGTATAACAGATGCATAACTTTCATCAGCTAAATTTGGACGAGTGTGCAATTTGATATCTATCTTGTAGCTAATATTGGCTCGGCCCTGTGGTTCCCACTTTGTCAGCCTCTCAAAGCCATCGATAGTCCTAGCAGAAAGTACATGGTTGGTCTGCTCGTAAAACTGATTATCGATGGTTAAAACATCGGCAGAACCCCATCCAGTTCGTCCTTTCAAACTTTCAATGACAATGTTGAACTTCATCTCGGAAGAATAGGGACTAGGGTATCTCTGTCTGTTGTTTTTGTCAAGTTTCTTTTCCGGACATGAATCCCTTACCCTGTCAAGTTCAGTGTATTCATACCTCAAATTATAAGGAGCCTCGATACGATTCTTGGTACTTCGAAACATGATTGTTTCGAAATAAACTGAATCATCCTCAGTTTTGTTGGTCCAAATTTGCCCCGTTATGGTATTAGTCTCTTTGATTGACCAGATTGCAGGGAACCTCAAGCTTAAACTTGTTGTGCAATCTCCAACACGAGCATTTGATCAAGAGTTTATGATGTCGAGAAACCGGCAAAGCAAAACGAGCAACTGATTCTTCTTGTCATCCCACATTCCTTCACCGATCAATGTTGTGTTGGGATTGAAACGATGATAGAGACTTGAAAACTTGGTATTATCTTTAAACTTTAGGAAAATCTGAACTCTATTCGGAACATCCATGCAATTAATGACATCTAAAGACAGAGAACCAGGCAAATCCGCTATCACCCCACCGAAAGGGAGGCACTTCTTGTTGGATCTGCGGCCTGTATACTGCAAATTAAATACATTTGAGGTTGCAAGGCTTGACAACTTTGAACAAAAGGATCTTCCTCGCATTACACTGTATATCGATAAACTCTTTTCGGAATCACTTTCACCGGAAAATTTGCCCTCGGAATCTCCAGACACAAAGGTGAACTTGTAATTCAGTTGTGGATGCATCATTATGGAGATTGGTTCAAAATAATGGTTATCATTGCTAAGACTCAAACTCTCCAAAGTTCCGGTAATCAAACTAGTAATACTACTGGAATTCTTGATATTATAAAGCTTAACAACAGCAGCATGTGAAAGCAAAGTACCTTCTTTTAAGTATGCAGAACCTGTTCCAACCATACAAAGATTCCCAGAAGACTCTGAGCAGAATCCATGAAGCTTCAAAACAAACGAATTCTTATGCTCCGCAACAGCAGGTGGCTCGTGAGGCGTGACAGCTGAATCTTTTGATGTTCCACTTAAGAGGCTTCTGAAAAGAAATGGACTATGTATCTCAAAGCTTCCCTCGATCATAAACGTGCCGTCTTTATAGGTTTGGTTCACCACAGTGGTGTAAAACGAGAATGAATTCAGATACCTGGTTATGTTTGCACTTACAACTCTGAAATTTCCATCAGAATAGTAAAAACCAGATTGGTGTGGACCAATGTCATGGTGGCAGGTGAAATGGAGATGAGATTTGGGGGAAAGATGAAATTAGGGTTAAGGGAATTAGGAACTCGGAGGTTAGGGATTTGGGAGAGAGAGGAATCGATTAATTTACTTGATGGAGATGTGGTTTTGGAACAGGCCAAGGGAGATAACAAATATGATGCGGATGTGGGTTTGGAGCGGGATGAAGGAGAGACCCAACTACAGCTATTGAAGACCAATGGGTGATGGCAACCCAACCGTGAAGCCTAAGAAGAAATCTGTTAAAAGAATCTAGCAGGAAGCAAGCAGTTAGACTACAAGATAAATGCAGTGACAGAATTGTAATTGAGAATTATGCTGAGATGTAATTCTTCATCTTCAACTTTCTTCATTTCTAAAATCCCCAATTCTATTATTTTCTTCATTAAAATTGTGACAATTGGTAATGAGTCACATTAATTGATTCAAAATTCGAAAAAAAATTTGGGATGCCTAAGAAAAATACTAAAATGGCTTAAACAAATTCGATTGAAGCAACAAAACCTGTACATGCGGAGTTGCAAGAGGAAGTGCCGAGATGGTGGGTTGTTAAACGAGAGAAATAGGAGGAACGTTTAGTTACCTTGGAAGCTCAGTCTACAAAAATACTGGTTATCTTCAGAAGATTATTCAGATGATAGAAAAAAGCGCAGAAGAAGGTGATCACCTAACTCCAACAACTAGTAAGAAAGGAGCTGAAATTCCTGCACCAAAAATAGAAGGTATGACACCTTTTGAGGTTACTGTAATTAATGAGCATGGAATATACTCTTTTAAATCTGGAGAACCATGTATTTTACAATCTAAACTTGGTGATAAACAATCTGATCCTATTCTGCCAACTGTTCCATCTTTGAGACTGGTTAGTAATGAAGATGACTCAGGGGAGAATTCTAGTGTTATTCCTGTTACTGTTGGTGCTTCTGTTTCATTTTCTAGACCTCGAATTGAACTTCAGTTCTTTGATGGTTCAAATCCTAGGAGTTGGTTGCAGAAATGTCAAAAATATTTCAAATATTTGCTATTCCTGAATCTCAAAAGATTGAAATAGCTTCTATGTATTTGACTGAGAAGGCTGAAACATGGTTTGATGGGTATCTTATGCACAAACATAAGGTTACTTGACATGAGTTTACAGCTGATTTGTGTCACTGATTTGGCATCAGTACATATATTGATGTGGTGGATGAGTCCAAAAAATTAACTCAAAGAGGTACTGTGGAAGAGTATCAAGAACTTTTTGATGAATTAATGCCTCTTATCATACAACAGAATCCTCATATTGAGGAATATTATTTCATTTCTAGCTTCATTAGTGGCTTAAAAGATGAATTGAAGCATAGAGTTCGAGCACATGAATCAAAATCTTTGGCTGTTACATTTAAACAAGCTAAACTTCATGAACTTGCTGGTGAAATTAAAAGTAAAAAATTTTGAACTCATGTTCGGAGTTTCTACAATTCAAATCAAACTTCTACAGTGAAAAATTTGTCTACTACAATTCTTCCTAAGCATAGTCCTCCAAGTAACAACCGTTGAAAACATTTTGATGTTTCGATGTAACAAATTAAGTGTTAATTAATTTTAAGATTTTATATTGAATTATATTCGAATATGAAAATTATTACTCCAAGTTTTCAAAAGTCTATTTCAATCCTTACTCAAGTGTAAAAAATAAGTTTCAATCTTAAAATATTTTTGAAACAATTTTTACAAAGTATTTTGAGCCATATTCGAGCCAAAAATAAAATTATTTAGTATGGTATCGATACCCCCTATAGGGTACCGATACCCCTGTGAACATTTTGGTTCCGAGAAATAACAGAATGCTCGAATGGTACCGATACCTAGGGGTGAGCAACGAAACTGAGAAAACCGAAAAACCGACACGAACCGAGTAAAACGGTTCGGTTCGGTTCGGTTTGGCTTTAAACGGTTCGGTTTTCGGTTCGGTTTAAAGGCTTCATTTTTTTGATTCGGTTCGGTTCGGGTTTTCCATATATAACCCATTTGTTCCATATTGAACCAAATAGGCAATTTTTGTAAAAAAAAATTATAGTTTCAAGTGATTTTTTCATTGAAAAACCGAAAAACCGAAAAACCGAACCGAACCGAAACGAAAAACCCGAACCGTTAAAAAACCCGAACCAAATTCAATTTTTTAACTATTCGGTTTCGTTTTAAATATTAAAAAACCGTTTATTTCGGTTCGGTTCAGTTTTTGGTAAAAAACCGAACCGAACCGAACCGAATACACCCCTACCGATACCCCCATGCAATGATACCGATACCCCTAAGGTGGTACCGATACCCTAAGGCATATAACGGTCGAAATATTTGAATTTTACACTGCAGGTACCGATACCCTATGAAGGGGTACCGATACCCCCACGCTCCAAGCTGTTTTATTAATTGTTTTCACACTTAAACGGCTCCATTGACTCCACTAATCATCCCCAACGTTCAGAATCAATTGAAGGAGTATTTAAGCAAGTTCTGAAGCCATTGATCAACAAGAAATCATTGAGAAACAAGAGAGAAAGCATCAAACACCAAGTTTGTGCAATTCAAGCCAATTTTCCTTTCAATATTCATTTTTCTTTAAAGAACATGTTGGGATTTTCGGAAGCTCAAATCGACAGTCGAAAGGTTTGCAAAGAGAGGTCGGAACGGTTTTGTGTTTAGGGAGTAAGGAGATTGAAAGATAGAGAATTGTACAGTGATTTATAGTGGTTCGACTTTCTCAACCAAAGTCTACGTCCATTACCTTAGCTCCTCACCAAGGATTTTCCAACAAATTCACTAATTTCTTCTTTCTTTTGAGGATAAAGAGTAACCTTACAAACTCCCTAGTTTTTCCGGGCTAAACTAGAACATTTCCCTAGCTTTTACACGGGATTAGCTATAACCTTTCTCCTTTACAAAAGGATAAGAAATGTAAAAAAGAAAACCTCTCTAAGGTAGGTGTTTACAAGATTGAGCTCACAAGAACAAAATATATACAAGAGAAAGATGAAATAAGAATGAAAAACTCTTCTCTTGTGTTTGATTGCTTGGATAATTGTTCTATTACTTCTTCAAGTGTCCTTAACTTGTATTTATAGCTTGGAATGTGTTTGAAGTCGTATATAGTCGTTGGGGATGTTTTAGAGCCGTTTGGGGATGAGAAACAATTAATAAAATAGCTTGGAGCGTGGAGGGAATCGGTACCCCCTCATGGGGAATCGGTTCCCTAATTGCAATATGTTTTTGATCGTTAGACAGGGGGAAATCGGTACCCCCTGGGGGAATCTGTTCCCCCTGGGGGGGAATCTGTACCCCCTGGACAATCTGATTTTTCTTGAAACCCTTTAAAAAGAAAATATTTTTGGCTCGATTAAGGCTCGAAATACTTTGTAAAATTGTTTTAAAGTAGTTTAAGTATAAAACACAATTTTACACTTTAGTAAGGATTAAAATGAACTTTGAAAGACTTGGAGTAATATTTTGATATTAGAATAATTACATCGAATATACTTAGAAAATCTTTTGTAAAATCTTAAAATTCATTTAACTTAATTTGTTATATCGAAACATCAAAATGTTTTCAACAATCTCCCCCTTTTTGATATAACAAAACATTTGAGTAATTTTAAGATTTTGAAATCAAGTTTGAAATTACTCCCCCTAACTTTAACACTTCTCCACTTTAACACCTTAACACTTCTCTCCCTTTTTGTTAAATCAAAAAGACTCTGATCTTTAAAGTTCAAAATAACTTTGGAGAGTAAGTAGTAAATTTGACATTTTAAAAATCATTTGAAAAATCAAAGCTCCCCCTCAATAAATGCATTCCAAATAAAATTTAGCTTTAAGAACAAGACACTAAAATAAAATTGAATTTCAACAAAGAATAACAAACATGTTAGTAGCACATGAAATTCAATATATCCAAGACTAAAATACTTTATGCAATACCAATTGTTGAAATTTGATATCAATACCAATTGTTAAAATTAAGTGCATATGCATAAAGTTTTCCAAAAATGTTATGCATTTGAAAATTTTGATATCAATTGTTAGAGAGATATCATTTTCATTTTCATTTAAACCACATGCATAAACATTCAAATTTAGGTAAAAAAAATTTAAAATTTGTAAAATCAAAGTATTTGAAAAGTTGACATCAATTGTTAGAGAGATATCATTTGCATTAAAACAAATTTTGACCAAAATTTTATTATGATGAACTAAAAATTCTGAAAAATCATTACAACTTTAAAATATTCATCATAATCATCTTTTCAACATACATGAGATTAAAACAATGATGCATAATTATTTAAAACCAAAACTCATGCATGCTTAAAATCAAATGAGCAACCAAATAATCCAAAATTAAAAGTATTAAGCTTAGAGGTTACCCATTCCTTTTTCATGTGTGGCTAGAGCATCTTGAATATCATCATTTTCATCACAATTGCTTCCACACACCTACAAGAGACGTTTAAGTAGATTTTGGTATCCAAATTGCTTTGGATCCTTGAACGTTAGTTACAATGCCCCTTGTTCCTTTTGGAACCCATACTTGCCTAATTTTAATACGTTTTCCTTTCTTCAAAGGACAAGTATGTTCCATATGACCATGATAATGGCAATGTGAGCATTTTGCCATATTTCAACATAATAGGTTGATTTTAGAAATTAATTCTTTTTCTTTTATTAAGCTTTCAAACTTAACACCTAACTCAAAATTTTCTTTTTCTAAATCATTTATTTTGATTTTTGAAAGCTTTAAATTATTTTCAAAATTTCATTTTGATTTTCAAAATCATCTTTTGCTTTTAAAATCAAATTATCTTTATTTTTGAGTTTTGAAATTAATTTCGTATATTTGGAATTCATGGTCTCAAATCCCAAATACAACCTATTATAAGCATCTTATAAACTCATCAAAAGTAAATGAATTAAATTCATTTGAGTTAGAATATACCTTGAATTCTTCTTGAGTGGTCATGAGGCATAGGTTG